TTTTCTAGGCCTTCCTCATGGTCATCATTGCTGAATGAAGAGTGGGATCAATGTTTATTCTGCAGAGATAGATGTATGCTAAATTTTAACTATATGCTATGTCTAGTATATTGTGTAGGCTGTTTGCTGGGGGAGGGGTTGAAAAATTTGCTGTGAAGTCTACTTCCTCATCATTTCCTTTGACAAAGGAGTGCTTCCTGGTGAAGTTATCTTCCTCCAGGGGTTTGTTAGAAGTAGTAGCTGTAGCTATAAATTTCTTTTCACTGGTAAAAGTGTATTAATATTTTTGAGCAGTTTCATCCATATGGATGATTGGTTTGCCTGTCTTCTGAACTTAATAAGAAGAAATGACTGGCATCCCTTCACAAGAAGATTCGTTAGGTTTCTTTTTTTCACTCTCCACTTGCTCACCTGATTTCGCCCAGAGAAGGCTGTGAACTTACCGGCATAACTAAGATAGCTGTATGTGGACAGCTCTGAAAGTGATAGGGTCTCAGCTCTTGCATCGCCTTATTGTTAGAAAAAAATCCTTTCAGTAACAAAATTTGGGCAGCAAAGGAGCCCAGGATGGGAAACTGGAGATGGGGGAAAGGGACATACTACCATGAACTGAAGAACTAGTTAATTAGTTATAGTTTAAAATGAGGAAGAAAGATTAATTGAATGAAAAAGTACAGAGAATATTTTGTAGCCTATGATCAGACAGCATTGGGCCATACACACACACACACACACACACGGAGTGGAACAGAATCAAAGCTTTCAAATTGCTATGCAGCAATTCCAGACAGCAAGATGTGACGGCATAACCTGAAGAATGCAAGGACACATGGAATATAAAACATATTTTGGGTTTAATGTGCTTACATTTGCAAAGATATTTTATGGCATTTTATTTTCCATAGTAAACGAAAAAGATTGAGCTTTGTTTTCTTAGAACTGACTAGTTGACTACCCAGTGTGATTTACCTGATTACAAATGAGTTAACTCTATAATCTGCCTCACTAAGGCTCCTTAATTTCATCATAAAACCTGACAACTTCTACCTTTCTAATCCCATGAAAATATCACATATTCTTATAAACTCAGCAAATATTTTTTGCTTAATCCACAGCTGACACTTAAAGAATTGCACAGACTAATTTATGGCACGTATGGATTGTAGATTAGTGCGGATTGAACAGTAAAGCCCTCACACTGCTGGTTGCTGTAGGACAATTGGACTGGTCTACAGGACCCTCCCCATGCAGAAATGAGACCTGTAGTGGACCTGTAGTGTTAAAAGAACAGCAGTAAATAATAGCAAGAGAAAATTAGTGCAATGGCTTGTGTGACTCTACCAGAGCTCACCCGTCAGAGCTTTCTTCAGAGCTACCCTGGCTTTTGCAGACCTGATTCCTTCCTACCCACTAAAATTCGTTTTCAGCCAAAACCTGCTAATAAATGTAATGCCTTAAAATAGCAGTATAATGTACACAAATGCTTGTAAGCTGTACATGCTCAGCCACAGTGCTACTTCTCAGGCTGCTGCTCTGCTAAGTATTACTGCTATTAATGATTTATGTGGTGCCACTGAGCTGTGTGACACTTCACAAACATGTAAGAAGACCGTTTCAACCATAAAGTCAGAATAACTTCCTTGGTTTCCTAAACTGGGGTAATGGGCCTCCAGGGGAGGTCAGTCCACCTGGAGGGTAGGTGCAGACCTTCTTGCGGACTAGCACGTCACTAGTTAAGCAATAATTTCACCTGGAATGAGACAAAAGGTGTTAGAAGAATTTTCCTAGGTAAAAAAAAAGACTTTTCCATATGTTTTTCTGAACTGGGCACTGAGAAATGCAGCTTTCAACTTTTTCACTTCACAAGAAGCAAGTCCAGTTGTTATAAAAAGAAAATGAATGCTGAGGCACTCTTTTCCATTGCATCTGTGGATGTACAAGATTTTAGATTAATAATGTGAAGAGGAAGTCGAGCTTGATAAGACTATTGACAGGAATTTGGGACAGGATGGGCCTTGATTAGAGCAGCTAGAAAGAGAACTATTTGTAGAAAAACAAAACCAGGCTTTTGCTATTCCGAAAAAATAGCAAATGTCCCAGCAAAAAACCCCAACCAAACTATTGTAAGGACTTCCTAACATGACTACAACAAGATTTACACTCAATACGTACTGGCAAAGCCCCCCAGCACATGCACACACATGTGAACACACACATGCACACACGCTGCATTTAAGACCAGTGTTACACATTTGATACGACCACAGAATTAGCTAGACTGCAGCTTTTCCACCTAGAAAATGTTTGGGATTCATTCAGCTGCAAAGGAAAGAACAGAAATTAATGCATCAAGGGCAAGCTTGGTAAAATATTAAACAAGTCAATTTGTTGTCAGCTGACCCCTTCATTTTAATAAAATATTTCAAAATGCAAAGAAGTTTCAAATAACAAAAATAATCATTTTTTTCTAAGAACGTCTGTCTTTTTCATTCTGGCATTGTTTTCATCCCCCTTGGAAAGTATGAAACTTAATGCAAAAACAACAATTAGGTTGGAATTCTGGGTTCTTTTGTCAGAAAGCTGTTTTTTTGAACGCTTCCCAGTTAATGCTTTATGGCTGTGGTGGCAAGACAAGTGTTAATTTAGAGGGCAAGAAGGAGCTGCCCTGGGAGAACAATGCTCTGAGGTGAAGAGGACACCAAAAGCTCCGCAATCCCCTGCCCCTCCGGCAGCTCATGCCCAGGACCCCCTCCAGCCTCCGGCTCCCGAGGTTGCCCACTGGCTGTGCTCGCTCGGGCCACCCCTGCGCCCCGCTTGGCTCCTACCACAGCTACTCCCCTGCTTTCCAACCAGGGTGGTCTCTCCTCCCTCTCCCACCTCTTTCTGAGAGTATTTACTGGAAACATGTTTGCTTGGAGGCGAGGGTTAATCCTTTTTCACGCAGAGCTCCCTTCCCTTTTCCCAGGAAGCTGGTTCCTGAAATCATATTTTATTACAGATAAATAAAACACTGCTAAAATTAGGCTCAGAAAGCGAAGTAGCAGCATTTCTTGGCTGTACTTTTTCCCCTGTGTGGTCGTTACCTGCTCCAGAGAGCTGCCATGGCCATTAAGGTCCCCTGTTAAACCAGTGGTTCTCAGGGGCAGCCCATGTCCCCATTGCCATAATGAGGCGCCTTTGCAGCAATTTCACTTTGCTTCTGTTATTTCTGCCATCCCGACATCTGTAAGACTTTTTCAGACATAGTGAATTCTGGTTTCAAGGTACGCTAACCATTGCCTCTAGCTGCCTCTAGGTAAGAATCAAGGCAACGATATTTGCCAATAATTCAAAGTTATTCTGGATAGTTAAAAACAAACCTCTGCTTTAAAGAACTGCAGATATATTTTCTTAGACTGACTGACCAGAAAGCAAAACGGCAGGTCAAATTCAGTGCAGAGGAAGTGGTGTTGAAAATGAAACGAAATCCTGCCTTCATATATGCACTGATAGACTGAGCTGACTGAGATTATCCCTCAGGACTGAGATTTTTTAATTATAATACATAGCTTGCTAAAATATCAACCCAGTGATTCACAGATGATCAAAAAGCAGTTAAAATTCTAGAAAACGCTACAAGGAAATAGAAAACAAAGTCAGGTCAGTATGCTGCTGCAGCAAACTGTGATTCAGCTGCACCTTCAATACACTGCAAACCTGGTACACTCCCCCATTTCCCCTCACGTAAAAAATGATAACTGAATCCTAGAGAATGGTTCAGGTGGCAACATGGATTTAAAAAAAAAGTATACAAAGGTATACATTAGACAAGGGATGACTAAATATATCAGGGGCTCCTCAGCCTGGAAAAAGAGGGGGCTATGATGAAGGTGTACAAGATCATGAGTTGATGGAGACACTAGGTAGGGATCTACTGTTTTATCTCTTATCTTTATCTCTTTAACTCTTCCCTTTCCAGAACTTGGGGGCATCGAATGGGGTGGTGTCAGGTTTGAATGAAGGTTAAGCACGCTTGCTATACAACGTCTGCATGGGTTAAAACTGAAACCAGACAAATTTACAGAAGAAATACTTCAACGGGTGTTAGATGCAAAGGAAATCCCTGAAATGCAGATTCATGGGGTGTGAGTGTGTTCCTGAGCTTGCTTCCCCTGTCCCTGTGCCCCTCCTCAGCTATCTATCCGCTGTAACCAAGAGGTGACCAGACTCATAGGCAGCTCAGTCTTCCAAGCCCAGGAATCCCTTCTAGATATTTAGATATTTTTCTTCATTACGCAAGCCTTTCGGTCAGTTTTCCACTTCGTGCCATCTGGTTATTTTCTGCTGGTAGCTTTTTTTTCTGGCCACAAAGCTGCCACTACCTGTTATGGAGAAGGGAATCCAAAGTCTGGTTCCTGGCAAATGGTACTGTGGTAGCTGGACCTTCAGTGGAAACCACTTGCCATGTGCAATCACCGGCTAATTTGCTCTTACTACTTTAAAAAGATTAATTGACTAACTTGAAAAATAAACACGATTATAGTTGAATTTTCTTCCATAAGAGAACAAGCCATATTGTATTGCTAATAATATGGCAGGATAAAAAACTGTACACAGTCCTGGGTGGTTTTCTCATGTTTTATTCACATGTTGAATCTGTTGCTTCACTGAAAACTTTCACTGAAAAAGATGATGAGGTTTAGGCCATTGCTAGTTACAATGCATGGGTGGACAAATACAAACTAATTTTACAGAAAAAAAGATAGATCTTTGTTGTTTTGATGCTGATTACTGGGGTGGGTCTCCATTGTGGTCTCCACTTGACCTTGATATTGTGCAGTGAGCCTCTGCTCTTCTGTTTCCGCTAAGGAGAGCTGTTTCTATGCCTCACTGCATCACTGCCAACAGAAAGTGAAAGCTCAGCGAGCTTCTCTAAGCTGTGGGAGTTTCTGGACATTTGCCTTTCTCTTTTCCTTTTCTGACTGAGATTTCACTCTCCTGGGGGAGAGGGGAGGCAGAAAATGGATAAGTTACGTGGGGCGCTGGATTTCTGCGTCCGCCACCAGACCGTTCTGGGTTACAGCATCGTGTCCCTGCTGACGGCTGCCAGCGAGCAGATCTTCTCGTCTGTGGTGTTCAAGTGTCCCTGCAATGCTGGGAACATGCTGTACGGCTCCGTCTTCCTCATCGTGCCTGCCTTCATCCTCTTTTTGTTGGGCTACATGGTGAACGCCAAGGTGTGGCGCCTGCTGACAGGCAGCTGCCCTCCGGAGAAGCGCTGCAGCTGCAGCTCCTGGAGGACCCGCGCCCGGTACTGCCTCATGCTGCTGCCGGTGACAGCCAAAACCTCGGTGGCCCCCCTCACCTGGCTGGCGGTGGCCCTGCTCAGAGCCAACTTCTACGAGTGCGCAGCCAGCGGGAGCAGCCTGATAAAGAACCTCGTGTGTAAAGATACAGGAGAAGAGTGCAACAAGCTGCTGGCCAGAATACCCTGTGACGAGAAGTTGTCGCAGATGGTATCGAGTGAATTCCTCAGCCTTCAGGCACAGTCCCAGGTAAAGCCTCACTGCTCTTCTCTCCACCCAACGGGCTTCAACCCTGGCTCCTCAACGTATGGTGGTGCCTACTGGGGACTGTAAACAGTCCTTCTTTCTCATGCCATATAATTACCGAAAGTACATGATTAGCAAAAAAAAAAATCCAAAAACAAACTACTAACAGAAACATAATAAGTGTATATTTGTGCCATTTTCTGGTTTTGCATGTTTGCATGGCGACTGTTTGGCATTGCCGTTTACAAAACCTCTTTCAAAGCTGGGAGGGGAACCAGCCTAGAGACCAGACTTTCCACGGCTAGTTTTCTTCTCATTTAACTTAGGCATGGTGCGAGTTCTTCTCTTTTTCCACTTTTACCCCTCTAAATAACTCAAACTTTTAAAAGTATGTATTAGCTGAGAGGAAGCTGAGGTCACAGATAGAGAGGAAGCTGATGTCTCCTTGGAATAGAGAAGTGGCAACTGAAACAACCAAGGACAGCTTGATCTCAACACTTGAACCTATTAATAATTTCACACTTGTATTCTAGAAGAATAGTTAAAATATGTATCTGTCTTGTTAAAGCATTCTTCTGCTGAAGGCAAACTGCATGGTCAAAAAAATAGCACTTGCGAGTGGATTTTTTTTGTTTGGAGTGAAACGAAACCTCCGTATTTTGGCAGCACTCCAGTTTTATTTCTAGGTTTGTTTTGGTCATCGTCTTAACTCCAGTAGAAAAATCAGGTTTTATCACTTTTTCTCAGGAAAACATTAAGGCTGGTTAATGGAGTTTGGTTTGTAAAAGATTATAATTACTTGGATTTTTATAAGTTCCTGTTTATTATAAATCCTTATTGAAACAAAAAAAGTGTTTACATTTGTTAAATATTTAGCATGCTGCTCCTCCAAGAAAAAGGCTGAAAAGAGGTAAATTCTTTCACATTTAATTCAGATAGGCTAAGAAAGGAGGAAAATCAAGGAAGACGGACTATTACTGATATTGCTATGAAATCTAAAAGAAACAAACCAGTCAAACAAAAACAGAAAAAGCGTGACAGCATTTTAATAGCTGACCTACTTTCAACAAAATTAAGATCCAAAAAGAACACAAACTCATTTTTCTTTAGCACTCAATGGTTTTCACTTGAAAAAAAATCAGCCTGAGGTGAAAGGGGACACTGGGAGATCTCTGCCTGGAGCTTCTCACTAAGTACCACCGGGTACTGGAGGAACCAGCATCTACTAGGACCCCCGCTTTAGGTGGGGCATCTGAGACTTATCTAGGGATGTTAAAATCATGTATAAAACAAGAATGAAATCCCATATTTGGTAGCCAAATCCGCATCCTGCCTACAAAACATATAGGGGACAACTTTTCCTGTGTGCTGTGGTAACTGGCTAATTTTCCATGCTCAGACATCAGGGAGAGAAGGTACTTTCCAAGAGCAGATAAAACACAGTCAGAAGGAGGTCTAATTCACAGCATCAGAGGTGGACAGGGTGATTCTGCAGTCTCAGTACTGTAAATCTCACCACAACTGCAGAAACTGCTGGTTAGTATCTTGCTTTTAAAATTAAGAAAGCTGGGTATAACTGAGGAAAGAACTTCACTCCACCTTCTCTTTTTTTTTGTTATTCATCCTCAATCCAACAGAATCAGCTCAGGGGTCCAGAAGCTGAGGGTGGTGAACCACTGGTACAGGTTGCCCAGAGAGGTGGTAGATGCCCCATCCCTGGAAACATTCAAGGACAAGTTGGACAGGGCTCTGAGCCACTTCATCTGGTTGAAGATGTCCCTGTTCCTTGGAGGTTGGGGGATGGTTGGACTAGATGACCTTTAAAGGTCCCTTCCAACCCAAACTGTTCTATGATTCTGTGATTCTAAGCTCTGGAAGGCTGGCTGAATTGTGTGCATGGGATCCTCTCTTTCTGCAGCGCGTAGACTGTTACGGGCACTCCAGGGTGACTTTGCTCACAGTTTTCGTGTCTGCTTCAATGTTAAGTTCCAGACTCCTACATATGACCATGTAAAACCACCATTAACCCATCTATCTCTTTTCCAAGCTGTTAGGATGGCTCCTGATAACCGGCATCATGACTGTGGCACTGATTTCAACGTGTGTCAGCCGCTGTTACTCCCCGGTGAGCTATCTTCAGCTCAAGTTCTGGAAAATTTACTTAAAGAAGGAACAGGAGCTCTTTGAGATCAAGGCTGAAGAGCATGCAACCAGGCTGGCAGAAATAAATATGGAATGCTTTTTTGAAGCCACTGACCCAGTAGAGTTTAAGACTCCCAGCAACGAAGACTGGCGGAAGATTTCATACTTGTACACCTTCAATTCACAACAGCAGTATTACAGCATGTTACACAAGTACGCTAACACAAACAGAGGCAACAGCGTCAGATTCGGGGAAGAGGATCAGAACCCCCCTGGTTTAGGATTTGTGGATGAAGCAAGCACAAATGAATCAGGGTTTTAATGAAACAAATCCTTTGCTGCACTGGCTGTCTTTTAACCTACTGATATAAGAAGAGTATTATTCTGTACTCTTATTGAAATCTATGCAAATTGTATGGAAAAGCTGATAGTTGTAACCCTCAGCAGTTTTGTTTTTAAATACACTTTATTACTTTTGCCTAAGTACATTTAAAGAAATACATCGGTCATGATGGGAGTTTTCATAAGTTGTTGTTCATTAAGAAGGATCACATGTGTAAAATAATAAGCATCTGCAAAGGTGTCAGCACATACTATGTCAAGTTATTACCAAATGCCTGAAGGGCATTTGGCAGCTGAGGTGACAATACCAAACCTTCATACCTGGCAGCATCAGAGAGACAAAAAGGAGTGGAAGCTTTGATGAGAAACAGCTTAGTTTATTAGCTCTCACTTCAAAATATACCTTTCAGTGGAGCTTAGAGCAAACTCTCGACTAAAATATTTATTTTCAGTCAACTAGTTTCTCAAGGCAAGGACCGTATCTTTTAAAATCTGGGAAGTGATTAGCATTTTGGAGCTACCTGTGCATAACAAAGGAGTCCATCAAACGGCTTCAGGTGCTTATCAGTTTGAACAGATGAGGAAAAAGATTCCAGACGTTTTCCCCCTACCTGCTCAGTGGCTTTAGGTAGTAACAGTGAAATTGAAAGCATCCACGGTGGTGAATTTTCTTTACCACTGCCTGATCTTGATCACCTTTTGCAGCAGACCTTCTTAATTAGCCCTACTGCTCATTTCCTGTAACTCTAAAGCTAACGGGAAAAAATAGGCATTTGAATGCTGCAAGGAAAACACGCCTACATTAAACATCCTGTTTATATTCCACTTACATTTTTTCTATTTTTTTTCTGAAAAATACATAATTATTATGTTTTTTTTAAATATATATTACATATGGGGGTTTGACCCTGGCATCAGTACCTAAGCTACACCTGGATGTCGCTACCGAATACACTATTTAACTTGATCCACAGAATCTAAGTGCAAATTAGCACAACTTGAGGGGTTAGGCTTATGCATAACAAAGCTGTATAGGTGAAGTTTATATTACCAAACATTTATAGCACAGCTACATACTTAAGGACATTACAAATCTGCAATCCATATTAGCAAATAATAATGTTCCTATCAAAGAACATCTAATTATAAGAAACAAAGATACCAGTTTTGAGTGAAGAACGATAAAGTTCAGTTTTTCTTTGGAAAGCTTTTACTACAGAGCATTCTAGAGAGGTGAGTCTGATTGTTTGGTCCAGGCTGTCCTTTCACTCCTCCCAGAAATCTTGTCTTTCTCGACAGTAAAGTCTAACTTGGAAACTATTCAGGCAGACAGAGAGGAATCCCATGATGTTGTTCATTACAGTCATTTTCCAAGGAAGAAGGAAGGGAAGAGCCTGTTTTAACAGCCTGAATATAACTAGCTTGGAAGCTTCCTTCTTACACACATGAAGGGAAAACAAGATTTAATTCTGTATGTAGAAAAGAATTTTAAAAAGCATTCATTTTGTCACACATTTTGACTTGCTCAGTGCTCTTTTCCCTCCAAGAAACTTGATGATAATAGAGTAACAAGTACCCAATTTGTTACCTGTCCCTCCAGGAAGCACGGTTCAGTTAAAAATGTCCCATTTTACCTCTCATATTGAAGAGTTCGTTTGTTCATCGACGTCTAGAGAAAGATAAATCTACTCTGGCATGTGTTAATGGGAAGGAAACAATGTCCTGGCCCCTCTGCGATCAGTTCCAAACTGTTCCTTGACACTGTGGGGCCAGGCTTTACCTTAGAGATGTAAAAAAAATACTTCAGAATAGACTGAAAGACTCCAGGAATGAGCCATTTTTCATTTCCTGACGAGAAGCTGCAGTGAAAACACCCTCAGACATGTTAATCCTCTCAGCTGCATCTGGGTGGGCTTTTGCCACTTCCCCACTCATGGTCACAACTGCCAGGGTCTCATTACCAAAGCTGCCTCATCTTTCCAGGGAAGATACAAAGCTGGCACTTTTAGTTAAAATTAACGAGCAAAGGCTGTAGATGGGACAACAATACATATCTACAAGTTTGCTGGCAGTGATGGCAGTCTGTTTTTCACAGGTAAAGTGACTTTTGGAGGAAGGAAAAAAATTGTATCTATGTATAAAAATTGAAGCAGATATTTATATATTGGGTTTGTAAGCAGTCATGTTTGAATTTTGAGTTTTCCTCACCTTTATATAACACTTATATCTTCTGCATGTAATTATATTTATAATGAAAGACATTTCAAAGAGAAGCTTTAGCATGCTTGTGAGCGGTCTGTTAGATGCCTTCCAAACAAGGGCTTACAGTAAAATGAAACACTGAGGAACACTTCTGTGAACATGCTACGGAGCGAGACAAGCAAAAAACTGTATGTGCATAGAGTAGCTGTTGTCAGCAACTAATGGTAACGTAAAACGTGGGTCACTGTTTTTTCTATTGTTTAATTACCATTTTTCTACCTAACGTTTACTTACTTCATCTTTAGGATACAATGGACGAGGTGATCCGGCGTAGGAAGAAAATACAAAAAACACTAACAGCAAAACAAGTGTGCATTGAGTGTGTCTGCCCAGTGCTGAGCTGAGCCGACAGGGATATGCCATGAGTATGAACTAGCACCCAGTCTAGTCTGGCAGTCTCTTGTCACCCTTGATCTCAAATCTGTGCTACCTTGATTGGCTCAGGCATTTCTGCTATATGTTCCTTTGCACAGTGGAAACTTAATCCTTCAAAACTTACTGTGTCCAAGTAGAAGTAAAGATTTCCTCAGGCTGTTTATTCTGAAATACTGAAACCTAAAGAAACAGCTTTGATGTCCTACCTGGAGCATCACCGCAAATGTTTGGTATTGAAGGAAGGGGAGGAAGCCTCGGCCACACCAAAGCCAGTGTGACAACACTGCAAAGGCCCCAGGATGACACTAATGGTCCTTGCTTTAAAAATATTGGAATATCCAGCCATGACTGTGCTTAGTGAATGCCTGCAGGCAGAAACTCTTTGAGAGGCCCTGAATACAGAGGAGTCAGCCTACGTGTCACTGCAATGTGGTGACTGATGTTTTTTAGCTGGTGCAGACCTCAACAGAAAATGTTACCATAGGCGTGTGCATGCATGTACACCTGTGTGCAAGTCCAATGCAACAGAGATTTAAGTAAGAGCATTGTATCTCACAACAGCACAGAACAGATTATTCACTTTCAAGATAATAATAAAAAGAGGAGAAGATTCAGTTGCTGGAAAAAGGATAAATGGCCATTGCCTTGTAAAGAACCTTTTTGGGGTCAGCCAAAGTTGGCACACGTCCATCTCAGCCAGCTGGGCACAACCAGCAAAAACCCCACCGAGGGTTCCTGCACAGGCAGTGAAATCAGGCAAATTCCACAAGACCTTTCAGCCCTGACCAAAACAAAACCAAAACCAAAACCAAAACCAAACAAACAAACCATCCAAAAAATAGGGACACTTGTTACTGGTTGTAACACGTTGTTACACGTTGTAACTCGTTATCGGTAGCAGGTAACAGCAAGCTGAGCTGAGCCCAAGGCTGGGTAATGAATAGCTCAATTTTTCTTCTGTACAAAATTGTTCTCTTAAAGCTCCATTACACTATGCCACAACACTGTTAAGACAAACAAAGGGAGAAAGATTATTGTGAGGACTGTACAGATCTGGTTGGAATGAGCCCCGCTGTCCCCAAGCAAGAGGTGCCCCTCACTTAGCAGGATTAAGAGGTAGACTGAAGGAAAAATAGGAGATGAGGGTACAAATCACAGCAATAAAATCAGAGTTAACTCTGGGCTTCACTGAACTGACCTAAGGGTTTGTATTTCGCTTTAAAACAAGCGCTGTGGTGAGAAGAAGGTGAGCTGGCTTTGTGGGCAGGGTACTGTGCTAAGACTTGGGGTTTGGTCCAACCCTTAACCAGATATCCTGCATTACACCAGACAACATTAAACCTTTCCTGTAACTCAGGTCTCTGTGAGGCTGCTATTTCTCTACTTTCCAGTCACATTTTGGTAACAACTTCACTGCCAAGGGGAAGATGTTCAACAGCTGGTAAGAACAGGTCAGGTAAGAACAGACACAATGACCAGCAAACCACTTCTGTGGCGATCTCTTGAGTTTTTATTCAAGTTTCTTTCAGTGAGTACAGATGCACAGTGACAACACATTCAATATGCCATGCTTTGTTCAGTTTGGTCATAAGATCAGTGCTCTTGAAGAGAAGACTGCCATGAAAAGGCCTATAGCTTGAAGCAACACAAGCATTGCTGAGTTTATCAGAGTGCTGCAGCCTGCTGCACACACAGGGCTGAACGGGCATGCCAGCAAAACTGCATCTGGCGCCTGAAAAAGCCATAAGGAACCGGCTCCTGCCATCAGTGAAGCCGCATCCCTCTCTGGCCTCAAAGGGAGCAGGAGCAGGATGTCCAGTGTGGAGGTATCAGAACAGGCACCTGGCAGCGAGACACTACATACAGCAGTCACAGCAGATTAATTCATTATTACTAACCACAACCAGCCAGGGAAATAAAGCACCTCTTAGCAACCATGCTGTGAAACATTGCCAACAAACAAAATGGGAAAAGGTGGTCATGTTTAGCTGAAAAGAGTTGGTATCCAAAGAAATACTTTTCATGTAGTGTGCACTAAATATTGAGATAAAACTTTAATTGAGCTCAAGAGCATGGTTATGCGAGAAGGAAGGGCAGGCCATTTTGATCTTTTATACTGATACTGGAACAGGTTGCCCAGAGAGGTGGTAGATGCCCCATCCCTGGAAATATTCAAGGTCACGTTGGATGGGGCTCTGAGCAACCCGATCAAGTTGAAGATGTCCCTGCTCATTGCAGGGGAGGTTGGACTAGATGACCTTTAAAGGTTCCTTCCGACCCAAACTACTTATGATTCTATATCTGTGTCATGACAATTAACATTCCTGTCCTCCTGCTCTGCCCCTCCTGTTTGCTGCCCGGCTCTCTTCACCATTCAAATATGACTGGTGCAGCTGGCTTAGTGAAGCCATTTTTACCCTGCATGTCTTCTTCAGAAACAAAAGGCGCAAAATATCCCTCAGCAAAGGTTTCTCCCAGTATTTCTTTCATTTATTTCTTTTGTGCTTTCTGTCTTCAGCCTTCCTTAAAAACGTAATTCCTATTTCTGTCACAGCATCGCCCTTCAGCCTGTCCTGGAGGAAGGTAACTTCTGCTGCTAAGTGAACCTAGAAGGAATCAGGTCTGATCAGTTAAGCAAAGAAATGCCTAGTTTTTTCCCTTCCTCCAGTATAAGGACATTTTTCTCTCTCTCTTACCACAAGGGGACCCCCTTTCTCAGGTTTCATACGAAACAGATTTCCAGATTGTTTTAAAATATGTTTCCCAACTAAGTTAATAAAAAGGAACTTCATATACACTGGAATTTGTGTAATACATTACCCTTCATTCCAGTGCTTTGCTTTCTCCCAAGAACCTAAATTGTGTACTTGATGATTCTGTGATCACAAAATTTCCTGGTCAGGTACTAATACTTATGATATAATACTTTTGTTAATTAGTCTTATATGAGATACTATAATTCTAAGACTGACGTACACACATAACGCTTGTACAGCTTTTGTCTTCTTGAAACATAAGATATATGACAAATTAGATACTGATGGAAACATAAAGCAGCCCAAAAGTTATCTCCCAGAAAACACCACAGAAACTTTCAAATGATGCCTTTTGTTTATTCCTTTGTAAAAGTCTTAAATATAAGAACAAAATTCGGAATGCCACCTGATACACTTCTGATACTTTGTTTTTCACATTATACTCATCCACACTCTGTTCTCCATTTCAGCAGGCACTGCAGTAACCTGAGAATATTACCTTCATGCATTTGGAAAGAATCAGGGATGGCTATTAGTGGTTGCACCTATGCAGGAAAACGAGATAGGCTCAAGGAGCAGTGGAGGAGTCCAACATGCCCCTCTGGCTCTCCACATTACATGTTAGCTGGCTTTCTGGTCCCACCTGGCTTTTGCACCTGAGTCAGCCACTGAAGAGCCAAGCAGGGCCAGTGTGGAGGTGAGCCAATCTGTGTGCTTCTTTGCCTCAGGATCCAGGATCAGCCTGGCCCTCTTTTATTTAGATATAGACATTTAATCTGAGAGAGAGAGATTAAACCCTACTAAATTCCCTTCATTTATCTGAGCAAGTGTTTTTGCTTTCCTGTGCCTCTGTATGTTAACAAAGAGTGAAAAAACAGATATGTACTTGCTTACCATTTCCAAGGCACCTCGGATCACCCCGCAGAGGAGGTTACAGTAGCAAAGTGATGCTCGTTCTGCTGGCAGCTCCTCCACAAAGTCCACTAGTGGGTTTTTGTCCAGGATTAAGGAAAACTCATTCCCTGCAGCACTACTGCAGCTCACACTCGCGGTGACTCCAAGGTACATCTTGAAAGCAACCTGCAAATGGATGAAATTCTGCTGCTTCAATCTGTTGTGTGCAAACCAGAGGGCAAACTTTAGGATGTAGCATGCTGCAGACCAGCTCTACCCCAGGACAACAGGGGGAAGGGAGAGACAGGCTGAAAATCAAACTTATCTCTTCTGTGATCAGCTTGAGCCAGAGACGCAAATCTGGAGCTATGGGATACTCCAGGGAAGTACAGCAGAAGGCTGCTTATTCTGTCTTTGATGCTCCTACATTTACAACCCCATACAAAGTGGTTTTACTGTTACCACTCGTCTGCTTTCAGTCATGTCACACTCCCCTGGGACCATTAGCATCTATATTAGGTCCTTCACTACATTGCCAGCAACTTTGACAATCACAGCTCAAGAACTCCTGCAACTGGCGAGTGTGTGTTTTCACTCTGGTCTCCATCTGCAGTCACAAAAAACCAGCAATGCACAAAGAATAAGACTGCCAAGACTGCAAACTTATTTGATTACACAGAGCATTGCCTGCTTTCCTTCTCCTACCGATGAATGTTACTGTAAATGTGCAACATCTGCTCTGCTGGTGGAGGGGTCCCCTGTGAGCATGTTTTTCCAGACAGTGACATCACGGTGTTATCTAGACAGCGCGCAGGCAGGCAGGCTAGCAGCAGGCTGTTCCTCCTCTGGAGAGCTCTCCCCTGCTAAACCACTGCAGACTGCTACGACTGAAGATAAAAGTGTCTTGATTTTTACTTCTGTAGTGAGTATCAAGCATGGATGGTTTCCAAACAATCCTGAAATTCTTTATGAACCAGAAAACTGCTATAGGTTACAGCTTTATGGCGCTGCTGACAATGGGAGGTGAACGTGTGTTTTCTCTTGTTGCTTTCAGATGCCCCTGCAGCAATGAAAACTTCAGGTACGGTTTGGTATTTCTCTTCTCCCCAGCTTTTGTTTTGCTAGTTATTGGATATTTCTTGAACAGCAAGACCTGGAAACTCTTTACAGGCTGCTGGGTGAATCCCAGAAAAATATTCCCCAGAGGGAATACCTGCCATTTCTTTTATGTCTTTGGACAAATCACTTTAAACGCTCTGGTAGCCCCAGTGATGTGGCTTTCTGTGGCTTTGCTCAACGGGACTTTTTATGAATGTGCCATGAGTGGCTTGAAAAATCCTGCCTACCTACATGCAGTCTGCCACAGCAAATCTGCGAACTGCTTTGAAGAACTGCACAAGGTAGCCTGTGACAAAAGCTCCATGCCCTTTGCAGAGAGTGATGAACTGAAACGAACTCTTCAAGCACAGTCCCAGGTAAGAAAAATAAATAAAGAGCATTATACAGTTTGTACTGCCGCTGTGATTTATCTGTGGAAGATCCTGATGTGAGATGCTAAGATAAAACCGCTGGTTTCAGATAAAAAAAGTTTTGGCATGACGCAGCCTTACAAAACACATTCAATCATTTTTTAGTTCAGTTTGAGCTGTGCCATACTTCCTGGGGGATTCCACTGATGGCAGGATCAATAAGACCGGAAAACGTAAAGCTTTCTTCCTGGATGAAGATTGGTCTAAAGAGAAAATACTACTGGATTGTTTAGGAGGCTGAATTAACAGATGTCACCCCATTAAAGGGGTCTGTCCTATTAAAAAATCCATAGCAGACTCTCCATTTTTATACCATCATGACAATGTAATGAAACCTTAGATCACTAACAGTAGAAAAATACTGGAAAACAAGATTTGTGATAGATTTGTGAATGCTTACGTAATATGTTCCTGTCTGCGTTCGTCATGTTCATGATGCCAGATGAGAGCATGTTTTTGTCCTGCTTGGAGGAAGGGAGAAACACTAAAATAAAACAAGCAGAACATGCAAAGCTGAGACTGTATTACATTTTACTATATTCGTGTGATACAGTTCTTCTCACTGCCTTGTAACGTAAATAAATTCAAAAAATCAAAACAGAGAAAAAAAAGACAAAAAAGGCTACAGAAAGCGATGGAGACATGATTGTCAGCAGG